TAAAAACATTTTTAACAATTCTAAAAAATTATGACAATAATAATAATAATAATAATAATAATAATAATGATAATAAGACGATGATGATGACGACATTGATAATCATACGGTCTAATTAAAATACGAATGAAACTCTAAAGAATAAATCCATGAATAGACATGTTTACGCGTACTACTCGACTATTCCATGTAGGTTTATCAAACAAAGTCTATTATTAGATGGCGACCCATCATCGAAAACATCGTTAAATGATGCAATACGTTTACTCGTTTTACTGTTTTCAACTGATTCGTTTGACCTTTTTTCTTTCTTCCTTTCTTTATTTCTTTCTTTCGTATATTTTTCTTTTTTTACTACTTACCAAATTTAATGTTTCAGTTCGATAAAAATGGCTACGTCATCCTCGAAGATTTCTTTAAACCGGAAGAAGTGGACGAGTTGAAATTTTGCGGGGAAGAATTCACGAAGAATTTGCCACCTGAAACGGAAAGGAAAATTTTTAATACTGTTGACGCCCAACAAGTAAGAAAAAATAAAAATTTCTTATTTTAATATATTATAATATTATAAATTATATTATTTGTTATATAAATTTTTTATACCACGATATAGATCAAAAGTTTCCGTATGGAATAAAAAAGTTACTTGGTTATTTTAAAAAGTAATTACTTTTCTTCAAAATTTTGTAGACCTATTTTCTTTCTTAAATTGCAAAACTACAAGTTTAAAGTATAAAACACAAGCATAATTATAAATCTAAAATGTAGAGTAGTTATTTTTTGAAATCACCTAAGAAAACTTCTGGCCCACCAAGGAACTTTTAAGCCATGATCTATTTGGATTGTAAATTTTTTCTATTATGTTTTAGAGCAAGGATCAATATTTCTTAGACAGTGCGCACAAAGTGTGTCCATTTTTTGAAAATGAAGCATTAGAAAACGACGGTACTTTAAAAGTTCATCCTAGAATATCATTAAACAAAGTAAGTTTTTATATTTCAATAATCGATCATTCCTCATTAGAAACAATTTTATTTCTACTATATATTTAAAAAAAAAGAAAATTTAAAAATATTTAAATATATTCTTCGGTATTTCGTGTCTATGATCTATGATTTTTCCTATCTTCTTGCCGTCTGTTGGTAAAATACTTGACAAGTTTTAACAGACTGCATTTGTCAGTAGTATGCAATTATTTGTACATCCAAATATTCAAAATGCCATCTTATGATGATAAAACAGTTTTCCTTAATATTTACCAGTTTTTTTATATATACATAATTTTAATTAATATTATAAATTTATTGATAATTTCCTCAACTATATTTCGTCGTTATAATACACATTTATTATAAAAATATATTAATTAATATATATATATATCATTTTTAGGTAGGTCATGCATTACATTGGTTACATCCGACCTTTAAAAAATACACATTTGATGAACGAGTAAAAGAGACTATGTTCCAATTGGATTACATAGAACCGGCTGTGTGCCAATCTATGTACATTTATAAAAATCCTGGCATTGGTTCGGAAGGTAGAGCAATAATCATTTTTTTCATCCTTTTTCTCACGATTATATATATACAATCTCAAAATTATATATTTTTTATTTATTTTCTCCCTTTATTTTTTTTTTACTTTTCTTTTTTGCTTCTCATTAGGTGAAAGTATAAACAAAAGATATATCATACATTTGTTTGTTTATATAAATTTACATAATATAAAATATATGTTTTCAAACGTATATAATAAATATAAATAATGAATTTATTATTTATATTATATTATATTACCATTATACATATAAATACATATTAATTATGAATTGCAGTAATTATGCATCAGGATGCAACATACTTATATACTGATCCAGTTAAATTGGTGGGTTTTTGGATCGCATTGGAAGATGCAACGCAAGAAAATGGTTGTCTTTGGATTGCTCCAGGTTCTCACAAAAGTGATGTTCATAGACGTTACATCAGAAATAAGGATCCCGATTCTCAAGAACTTTTGATATACGACAAATCATCTCCTTTCTATCCATTAAGTAATTTCCAACCTATTCCGGTAACCAAAGGAACATGTGTACTAATTCACGGTCAAGTGGTACATTTTTCTTATCCAAATAAAAGCGAAAATTCAAGGCATGCTTATACTTTTCACGTTATCGAAACTAAACAAGTGATTTACGCTAAGGACAATTGGTTGCAACCACCTGCCAATGGATTTGCACGATTGTATAGAAATTAAAAATATAACAAATTTTTAAAATAAGCAATGAAATATCTATGTGCGTACGCGGCAGGCTGTGCTCGTTTATTTGTTCTTAGTGCTGAACAAAACTAAAATTTGTAATTAGTTTTTCTGCTTATTTTTTATGTTTAACAAAAAATTATACAAGAAAATTAAAATATACTCGAATGACGTTCTTCTACGCTTTCTTTTTGTTCCTTTTCTTTCTTTTCCTTGTTTGCGAATGAAGAAATCCAGTTACATACATCTGAAACTTGACAATTTGGAATAATGTGTACAAAGTTCTTGTAGCTGCTTTATTCCCTGTTTTAATTGGTTTTCATTAACTTTTAAGCAACAATATAGATCCAAAGGAGACAATTCTTCTTTGAGTGTACTTTCAGGAAGAAAATTTTTCAATATTTGGTAAAGATTGATCAATGTTTTATGATCGAGACAATTATTTTCCATTTCTAGTAAACAGCTAAAAAAATAAATAAAGGAAAAAAGTGATAAAAAACCTTCAAAAATATTAAAAATTGCTTTTTCAAATAATAATCTAAATAAAATATGTTTCAAATGTTGTTTTATACTTACTTGGTCAGAGCACGTAACAAATGATTGATGTTTCGTGAAAGTTCCAATTGAATTCTTATCACGTGATCAGGAGTGGGTAATGGATTTGGCGTTTGAAAAAATAAACTAGTTGGCATCCCTATGATATTTGCAGCCATTCCACTAAAAAAAAAAATAAATATATAAAAATGATTTATTTAAAAAATTTTTTTTAATTTCTTAAATTTTTTTTTATTTACGTAAATAAATTTTTGTTTACCCATAATCACGAGCATATGAATAGATGTGCTCGAAATAATTAAAAGCGAGTTCTGCTCTATGTTTTTGTTTAGTATCGTCATTTTCCCTGCCAATCTTTTCAAGCAATTTTTTCTCACGTATATTCTTTTCATAATTATGATATCTTTGCTGTAAATCCTATGATGGACAAAACAAGATTAATAACATTATAGAGAAAATTTTGAATTATATTAAAAAACAAATATATATATATATTATATGAATAAGTGTTACTTGAATGGCACTCAATGCTCTGGTCATAAGTTCAGAATATTTATTAATATTTATCGCTTGAATCAAGTCACTACACTTTTCCAATAAATGAACAATGTCTTTCAATCTTCGACTACCCTCTGAAAATGAGTTAAACGTTAGTTCTTTATACACAATCTAATTGATAAGATCATAATATGAAATTTTTACTAACCTGACAACCCTTTAAACATTTCTAAAAGTTCTTTAAGAAAATTTAACGCATCTCTGTCGAATACTTCACTAGTAGCAGCTATCCAATGTTTAATGGCACATTTTAAAACGCACGTAACTGTCCAAGGTGGCTTTATGATAACATACTTTTCCCAAGTTTCGTCATATAACTTTTTCATTTCTTTACTTACTATCTGTAATCATTAATTTCATTCGTATAAAACATGAATATAAAATATTCTTATTCTTCTAAATTTTAGACATACTGATGCACAAAGTATACGTACCACTGAAAGAAATTCTTGCATCACAGATTCCACCTCTTCGTACAATTCATTAAAACAACGTAATTCTTCTTGAAAAGCGGAAATAACTTGCGAACTTTCATCTTGCATCCTTTGAACGGAAATATCGTGAAAATTTAATTTTTTATTCTTATTCGAAAATATGTAATCTATTTTTTCAAGAGGATCATCCCTTCCAAGTGCTAATATGTCGGATATCATAGCTTTGTTGCAAAGATTTTTGTCGTACGATAATAAAGCCTGTATTAAGAAATATATACATTAATATATAAACTAATTTTTTATACATAGAGAAACAAAAACATGTATCAAAGATATTAAAGAAAATCATTTTTTATCTAACGTACCACAGCTTTTCCTGCTTCTCGAATTTGTAAACAAACTTGTAGAATCTCATCATCAGGACATTCAGCAGCAAATTTTTCTTTATTATTCATTACATCCTGTAAGGTCTGACCAACTATGCGTGGGTCTTTAGCAGAGAAATGATTATTGAGGAATTGAATAGCTTTTCTGGATTGGTCACGCAAACTTTTTTTAGATTTGGCTACTTTTAAATAATCTAATTCCTATAAAATAAAATTAATGAAATATAAAACATGATTTTTCATATATAAAAGAATTTAAAAATAATTTCTACGTTTCTTATACTCACTCTTATAACAGTCCATGGAACCACAATAATTGGTTTATTGTACGTTATGAACTTATTATTCATAGCTTCAATGATTGCATTTAAATTCAATAAAAAGACGTTCGTATCTACAACAATGTACAATATTTTATTTTCTTCTTGAGATGGAAATTGTAAAATATTTCCTTCTATCTCTAATTTTTTATTTGTCATGCTTTGAGTACATAATTTTATCCTTGCGGCTTGTACCTGTAAGAGAGAAAATTTCATGTAGAATATCAATAAAAAATAAATTACTGTTTGAAAATAATGTAAGATTATTATATTAAATTTAACATAATTACTTCAAATGTAATTTCTTCGTCTTCCAACGGCTCCCAATCCATTTCTTCATAAATAGAAGAAGAGTTGTTTGCGAAATTTTCACATGACTCATTATTAGATTGATCTAATATATCTGTTTTAACCGACATTAGCAATTCTTCTTCATTTGGGATTATCTTATTAGATAGAAGTCTATTATGTAAATGTCTGTGCCTTGCATCGCTGTTTTTATAAACATCAGGAAATTCTGTAATTAACATTTGAAACGTTATGTCAAATTTTTCAAGCAAAAACTATATTTTACAGTTAGTCAAATCTCATTCCTTAACGATAATTTACCAGAATTATTTTGATCTTTTGTTGGAGTATTTATTGATTTTCTTAACTTCTCCATGCGATCCTTAGCCAAATTTTTCTTATAAATATCGCTTGTACTTCTGTTGATTATAATCTCGTCTGATGTTTTATTTTCTACAAAAAAAAAAAAAAAAAAAGAATCATGACCCCAATAAGAATTATAATAAAGTATCGTTAACATATACATTTATTATTTATATAAGAAAACAATCATAATTACCTGTTTTCGTAAGCTCAGATTTGTATTTTTTATCTATAGGACTTAACTCTTTTGATAATTTCCTCTTCGTACTAGTTTTCATGAAATTCTTACTAAGATTTTCTGTCAGATTGCATTTAGGATTGCTAGAAATAGGGCTCATAATTTGACTTGAACTAGAAGGTTTCGCCATGCTTATTCTTGTATTTCTTGTGCTTCTTCTATTATTTTCTTTTATCGTACTTTGAATGTTGTCAACTACATTGATATCTTTAGCAATGTTGACTGGTTCTAATGGTTTGGACCCTTTCTTCTCCATATTCTTTTTTTGTAATTTTTCATAAATAACTCTCATTTGTGGTGTCATTGTTTCTGGTTTGGGAGTAACTGTTTCCGGTTTATCCGATTTAGAAGTCGTTTCTGGTATTACAATCTTCTTGCTTCTACTCGGTGTGGTTTCGGACTTAAAAGAATTGGTGAAGGAACTATTTTTATTATTACTTTTTTCTTTCCTAAGCTCTAACTTCTTCCTAAGATCTATCATTTGACGCGTATCAACATTTTGCACAGGCTTAAAACGTTTGGCTACTAATTTTTGCCGTGCATTACTTTTATTAATAAGTTCTTCTTCTTCAAAATCAGGTGTTTTTCTTTTCAATTCAGGAGAACTTCCTTTAAAACTTCGTTTATGTACTAACATTTTTTGTACATTACTTTTATTATTAACATCTTTATCTTCAAGATCAGGTGGTGTTTTACTTCTCAATGCAATAGAACTTCTTCTATTTATTTTTTTTGTCCTTGTTGTTTCTGTTTCCATACCGGGAGTCTATAAAAACGTATAAATAAATAAATTACAATTTGGTTAAGATCTAATCCATATATATAAATAATTAATATATAGAACATGTACAATTGAAATAATACAGATTTGAATAACATAATTCATAGAAGACTAGTTACAATATTATAAAGTAATAAAATAATATTTCAATCTAATACATAAGCATAATAATGCAATTATTAATTTCACCTTGTCTGTATCATCCTCAGTAGGTACATTCCAAGATGATTTATTGGTTTTAGTATTAAAATAATAAACTCTATCCTGATGAGTCTTCGATTCGACAACAATCCAATGTTTCGACAAATTATGTTTCTTCATATTGAGATGAACAAATGAATGTCAAAAAAAAAACTCTTCAAATGCACTACGTAATAAACTGTGTTTATTTACGTCTTGAATAGTAATAGAGGTTAAACACATACTATGTTTCGATTATATCGTCTTTCTCCGACAAAAATAAGATCAATAAATCAAATGTAATATTGAACAAATACTAAGTTATAAAAAAAAAAAAATTCAATCGGAAATATAAACAACACTATATTATTAATCCTTTCGTAATTGAGTATTACTTATTATGCATATAATTTAATTGGTATGGTGAACCAATATAATAGAAATATCGTAATAAAAGTAGTCGTTTTCCATAAAATAATAACATCCGATTGGTTGAGAGTAAACATTACCAACCAATCTCATACCTGAGTAAATGGCGCTCCGATCGAACGTGTAGTAACAACACTAACGGAGATAAAACTTTTTGGAGGTTACCAAGGATCTAAAATGGCGCCATCTTTGAGTAGGTTAGGAAGCACATTGTTAGTCAAAACAATCGCCGAAATCGCAATCTATTTTTAGGTGGCACCCACCGAGCTACGGTACTTGACCGTTTTTCTCGGGCGTTGAAAAAAAGAAACGGGCGGTAGAAGAGGTTAAACGTAAGCTTAGTCGAAGTTTTTCTTCGGTAAAAAGGTTCAACGACCTTTCTCTCTCTCTGTTTTTTCTCTCTCTCTCTCTTTCTCTTTTTCTCTTCGTCTCTCTCTCTCTCTCTCTCTCTCTCTAGAGCTCTCTCTCTCTCTTTCTTTTTCTCTCTTTCGGTCTGTTTCTGTCTCTCTTTCTCTTAAACACAGGTTACATATATAGAAAGCGTGCGTGTGACAAGAGTGCCCCGACCGGCCATGTTTATACCGTGGTGAATTTTGAGCTAAACGCTCGGACGAAATTACCGCGATTCGATAATTTACACGTGCTCTCCTAATAAGATATTATCCTGTACGATAAATCCAGGAAGGTGACACTAATACTTGTGAAATGGAATCCAGTGAGAGAGGTGAGTTAACGGTATTCGACGTGAAAATCGCGGCAATATTGAGAGCATCTGACACAAATCGACGGCCCCGGGGGGGCAATGGCAGTGTCAGGGTCGAAACGGAACTAGTTCAGTGACCGCATTCGCGCGATTCCATCGTTTATTTCTACCTTGATGCCCTTTATATTTTATTTATTACGAGGTATATATCAAATAACATTTCCTTTCTAACCATTTGCGAGAAACCTATCTTTCTTTCTCTTTCTTTTTCTTTCTCTTTCTATCTTACAGCATTGCTGCTGCGTTCCGAGGACGAGAGTTTCTCTTTGTCTCTCTCTCTCTCTCTCTTCCTCTCTTACCGTTAAAAAAATATAATTCTACTTTCTGCATCGAATCTATGTCATGCGTTCGCATCTTCGCTTTTGAACACGACTGTACACCACTCCTCTCTCTTACTGACACACCGAGCAACGTTCTACTACCGATCGTTTCTTTCCATCCCTTTTTTTCTCTTTTTATTTTATCTCCAATTTTCATTTTCTTTTTTCATCTGTCATCTATCATTTTCCTATTTCTTTGTAAATCATAAAAGTCTGTTATCATTTTTCTATATATTTGGTTTACTTACTCGACGATATATCTTTTTTACTTTATCTGTTTTATGATTTTATTTTCACTCTGTGATAGTTTTTATATTATTTCTCTTTTTCGCAGTTATATTTAAATGTGTGTGTATTATTTAGATTAAATGAAAAATGTTATTATATTTTTAAAGAGACTATTTACGTAGCGTCATGCTTACTCCGTAAAAGACACGTGAGTATTGTTATTGCCTTAGACGAGTTTTCATTTGGCGTTAGTTGTAACGTGGCGACACCTGTCGTGTATTCGAGCACGCCCTACCTCAAGTTCCCGAGGATTAACCCCAACCTCTCTCTCTCTCTCTTTCTTTCTCTCTATCTCTCTCTATCTCTCTATATCTATCTCCTTCTCTCACCCTCTCTCTCTCTCTCTCTCTCTTATTTTACGTTTGCCCTTTTTATACTACACCCTCTTTACTCGCTGACATGGCGGCTGACTGAATTCCAGGTGTCTATGGGGAATCTAATTGTTTTATATGTAAGTTTTTTTTTTTTTAATGATTTACACAGGAAGAAATTTGAAAATTATAATCAACAATTTAAATAATCTTACCAGAATGTGTATTCAAATATTTTACAAATATTTCTCTTTCTATTCTTTGCAATATTAAAAAAAAAGTTAAATTTGTACTTTTCCTTTCTTTTTTGTTCCCCATCTTCTTTTTTTATATACCATTTTTTGTTTCTTGTTTTCAAAAAAAAAAAAAAAAAGAATAAAAAAATACACATTCCTTTTCCATTCCATTGTTTCATATTATTTAACAATTTTCTATTCTCCATTTTTGGTTTAATATTATTAATTTTATTATTAAAAAGAAAAGAATGCAATTATTATCTCGGTCGGTAAGGAAGATCGTTGCGAAAAAAAATCCTCGAATATCTACGAGTAAAAAACTATTATTACAAAAAATTGCATCCTCTGTAACACTTCTAATTTCATTTCCATAGAGAAACCTAAGAATTTACAGCAGTTGGCAGGACGTTTCAAAATGGTTGGCCGGACGTTGCGGAATGCCCGAAGTCCGATGCTAAGAAATTCGGCGAAATTCTTTTATCCGTGGAACGTGATCACATCGTCCCTTCCTTAGCTCGTTATCCTTCATCTTTAATTCTCGTTCTCCACCCTCCATATCTTTTTTCTTCTTCTTTCTTCTCTGTTGCAATCCTTCCTTTTCTCTCTTACCTGTTAGTCTCTTCCTCGTTATATAAGTCCAAGGACAAGAACTGTGCAGCTTTTATATATCTATCCTTTTGTTTTTCTTTCTTTTTTCTACCACCTTCCTTCTCTTTCTTACACACACACACGCGCGCGCGTACATGCACACAGGTAAAAATAAATGTTCCTTCTTCGCTTTCCGTTTATCCTTTCCACCACAAATAACTTTTCGAGACGGTAAAATAAATTATCCTCTTGTAATCTTAATTTTGCAATATATAATAAAATAAAGAAAGAAAAAAAAGTATAGATAATTTGAACAATTTATTTTTTATCATCTATATTTTATAATATAAATAATATTTGTTATATAAAATATAAAATATTCAAATATTTATTTATTTCTATTGAATTTTTTGACTCACAATCAGTTTATTCCTATTATTACCGACACATGTATATACGCGTGTATAGGTTTAAAATACATATGTAAATAAATTGGAAATTTTCTTTCGTTTCTATCTCTTTCTCTCGAATTTTCTTTTTCTTTCTTTCCTTTTCTTCCTTTCTTTCGTGATGATAATTAAAACAGGAGATTAGTATCACGTGGGTGGTAGAAATTGTGCATGCATATACGAATACATATATATATGTGTATGTGTACTCTTGCTTATTTAGATTATTTCGAGTGTCCTATCGTTCAGGATGTCCTGCAATTATTATAACTCTCTTGTTCGAACCAACTCTACGTTAAATTAAAGTAAAAAAACAATTCGAGAGAGAGAGAGAGAGAATTGCGTTAGCGTGGGTTTAACAATTTTTTTACCAGAGTTTGCATGACTCGCGATAGAAGAGATAAGATTATCCAACTCGACTCGACTCGATTTTATTCAAGTCGGCTCCGTTTATTTATACGTTATTTTAAAATATTTGATTACATTATAGTTTCTCCTACTTTTTCTTTTTTGACTTTTTATAAAAGATCACATGTTTATTTTTAGATCATTTTGTTAAATATTCGACGGGATATATGTAATTTCTGATCAAATCGATTATCTAATATAATAAATTTAACCAAATCCAAAAAGAATTAATTGAAATTTTGGGATAACTAAATAATTATGATTAGCGTTTAATATAAAATTAAGTTGCCATCTCTCTTTTTGCATTATTGATAAAAATATATATTGTAAATTTATTACATATATATTTATAAATTTTTTAATAATAAATATTATTATATTATTATTTTGTTTTTTTATTTTAATTCTTTTTTCTCTAAATACAATAAATAATAATATATAATATATAATATTCACACACGATTTCGATTATATACTATAATTAAAATTTAATAATATATTTTTATATATATAACAGAAAAGTGTGCTAAAAGGTCGATCGGATGATCAATATAATCAGAAAATTAAAATAATCAATCTCTCGAATATTCTCAATGTAATCTAATACGTCATTTTCATGAATATATCTTTTTTCTTCCTCTGATTTTTTGGATATATTTTTTATTTAATTTTTAATTATTATTTTTTTTTTCTCTCTTCGTTGAGATGATACGAAAGAACACGTTGACACAATGCAGCACTAAGGTCGACAATGAATCATGATACTTTCTTGATGCAGGAGTATAACGGGTTTATTGATCGCGGTTCGCTCGATCGTAGGCACTATACTGAAGCATATATAATTATGCAATCGTTACGCAATTCTCGCCAGGTTCTCATGGCAAGTGTTTGTCTCGACCTACTGACATTGGTCTGCTACAGAACGGGACACGCCTACTTGCAAACTTTCAAGGTTGCTAAGCTGTTCATGCTTCGACGATCCTTTCCATTTTTTTTTTGCTCCCTCTCCCTCTCTTTTCTCTTCTTCCTCCTCCTCCTCCTCATCTTTTGCTTCTTTCCCCTTTTATTCCTTTCCCCCCACCCGCCCAGTCCTCTTTTTCCTTTCCTTTCCCTTTCCCCTCCACCCTTTCCACTTTTTTCAATTCCAGACGAGCTGATCCTTGCGATGGGAGAAGGATGAATAAATTCTTTCCAAGATATTTTTGCTGCTTTTATATCTCTCTATACAGGGTGGAACATTTCAATTCTAGACATTTGTTTTATTGATGCGCGCATGATATTATATTTATTCTTATTCGTGGAACATTATTTTGCTTGAAAAATGTAATTATATATCTTAAAATAAGGTATCACAGGGAACTTGGACATAAAAAGAAGTAGAACTTAATTTAACTAAGTTGGACGTTTCGTCCCTTTATTGGGACTTCTTCAGCAACTTAATCTTTACAGTTCAGTGTCTTTTTTTATTGGGTAGACATACATTTTTCTTTTTATTAATATTCCAAACACAAAACATCTAAACTTCGTTAAATATTCGCTCGTTATGATTTGAAACTCTCAACAACACTTTTTATGTCCAAGTTCCCTGTGATACCTTATTAAGAATTATAATTTTGGACGAGAGAAATAACTAAGTAATTATATATAT